TTGTATAGAATCTGTCAAGTTATAGTTGTCATACTATAGTTGAGCAGCTTCTGTTATTACTGTGGTTAAAGGAAAAATACAGATTAACACTATATTATTAATATAGTTATTATTCTTATTCTTAAATACTAACTTCAAAATATTATAATCAACCAATTTACTTGCAATAAAATTTCATTCAACACATTGGTTTTGTTAAACTTAAAACTAAACTTTGCTTATAACATCTTTTAGTATCCTTCTATATCTGTAATTTTATCCCTTAAACCATTCTGTTTTAGTGTCTATATATAGGTGCTTAAATAATTATAAAAAAAACTAAGCCAAATAAAATTTTTTTATATAAAACTTTTATCCAAATTAACCAAGATAGCTCCCAAAAGCTTAAGTAACAAAACAAATACTTTTTTGGCAGCAGTACAACATATGACATGCAATTTGAAAAGGAATAACTTAAAGTTACATATGAAATATACACAAAAATATACAAAAAATATTGCTGTATATCAACAAATACTTGTGAGCTCGATACTATTGCACCAATCATTACTTATTAGATCAACAATGTTTAATTTTTTTTTTTTTATTACTTTGTCAATTACAGAATTATGACCTCATTATCAAATTAATTTGATTATATAATTATGATCCAATTGATAAATATTTAATTTGGAAATATCACATGTACAAGCTGTTATATGAAAAAATAAAATAAAATAAAATAAATAAAATAAAAAAAAAGTATTTTTGTTTCTTTTAAAAACTTTAACTATTGAGTACCAAAAACATGTAACCATCAAAGAGGCTATTAAAACCTTGCATTATTCAACTGTATAGAATTGTAAAAAGCAATTTCAGATGTTATTACAGCAGAGAAAAACATTACATAGAGTACACCAAAGATTATTTCAATGTGGAGATTTATGGCTTATATCCAACTCATCTTTGTTTGCCAACTATATACACCATCGGCATGCCTCACATTTATCTCTTTTCCAAATAGCAAAATGATTCCTGGAAACAAAGCATTGATCTGAGAGTTTAAAATATTTGATTATTCTTAGTCGTCTTGTTTCTTGTTCAGAATTACTTCTCAGTTGGGCACCACCTAAATCATTTGCAAAATTAATAAGGTCTCAGACAAGTTCAAGGTGAAATTCTTTGTGTTCTTGATTTGAATCTAGGGTTCGAATGATTATGTATGCATTAATAATTGCTGTATTCAACAGCCAAAAAAATAGGGGCATCCAATTTCACCATGCAACTTGTTGTGTACTGTAATAAGATTGTAGTTGATTTGCAATATCTACACCATTCATGTTATTATTATAATCATCGATTATTTTGGAAATTTTTAATTTTTTTCTTGATTCAGAACCAAACACTACATGCACTTTAGCAGTATTAGCATTTGTTTCTTTTGGCCTTTGTTTTTCTCTTTCTACTTTCCATTCTTCACAAACAAGCTCATAAATTATTGACAGCATAGTAACTGGCCCATTATCCTGCCAAAAAACAGCCAATGCACTATCCATTACAACACCAAAATGAACATTCCAATTAAGTTTAACACCTTTGTCTACCTTTAATGCTTTTGGAAAACCTGAGAAAGTTTTTCAAATAGTCCTACAGGCACCAATGCTGATTTTTTGAAGATATTAAAAAAGAGGAATGCTCATGAAATAATTGTTCATATACACATTAAAAGAAAATTAATGGTATGAAAGTTGTTCAACAAGATGGTAAACCAAACATCCAGTTTAATTAACACTACTCATCTTCATTACATTACTTGAAGAAGAAACATGTGATATTGGAAGAAAAGTAAATGTATATCAAGAATCACAAAGTGATAAAATTTTAAAGTTCTCTGGAATTGGTTTGCTCTTGATTTGAATAGTATGAACACTTCTTCCAAAAAATTGAACCATCATTTCATCTACTAAAATGTTTAAGTTAGATATATAGTGCTGCTTTGAGATATTCCAGATATGTGAAAATAATTGCTTCAATTTTTCAAAATAATTTTTAACTGTTGCATTGGATGGAGAAACATGCAAATATCATTTAATCTGTTCAAAACATTTAAGGGGCATTTGCTTAAAGATATGGTGAATGGGGAGTTTTTCATTCTGATTCCAATATCGATTAAGGGATAGTAATTTAAAGAGTCCCTGATAAATAACAAGAGCAATCCAAATGATAAGCTCTTTACGAGTCAAGTTAAACTACTGTTTACCAATACTACTAGCATCTTTTGTTAATGCATAAAGGTTTGTATTGGCAACAATTATGTCAAGCATGTTTAGTATAAAAAAAGAAAAAAAATCTATTGGTTTAGAGACACCTTCATCAAAGTGTAATGATAGTCAAATAGATGCTCGATGCAGTGGTTTGGAGTAAATAAATGGTTCAAAATCTGCAGGTGGTGGTGGCAGTTTTTGTATACTGTTCTTGATGATCTACATTTCTTTTTGGGAGTATTATCCATGTTTGTTTCTATAACATCATCATTTTCATCTACATTCACATTCACATTCACATTCACATTCACATTCACATTTTCATTATCTGATTCTAGATTATCCAAGGAATGCTAATGAACTGTCAGAAGTAGCACATATTCTTTCTTATTATTAGCGATTATTTTATATTTTTTCTCATCATTAAAAGTGGAGATGAACTCAAAGCAAATGTAGAAGACATTTTTAATTTTAAAATATTTGAGTTTTTTTTTATTTTTATTTCTTTCTATAGAGTTACATTTACAACATTTGTATTTTTTTTGTTTTAAAAAAAAAGTTGTTATCAATATCAAATCACTTAAATACATAAATTTTTCATTATACAGTATTTAGTTACTAACAGAAAAAATGCTACTGATTTCTTTCTCACATATATACATATATACACATATAGGAACTTACTAATTTATATAATAGGCATAACAATATAATCAAGAAAGTGTATACATGCAATGTATGACTAAAGTAAAGCCCAAATTATTGCTTAATAGGTTTAATAAATATGAGAAATTTTGAAAACTGGCATATGAAAATAAAAAATTTGGCCAAAAGCAAAAAATTGTGTCAGGTAATGTTGAAGTACGAAGACAAGTTTTAAAAAATAAACTTGTGTATTCTCCAATTTTTATTTAAACTTTCTTTCGCAACACTTCCATGATAATTCTGTAAGTATTAATTAATATATGCACTGCCTCAATTTGTACAAGTCAAAAGACAGGTTATTACTAATTTGGTTCTTGATTTTCTTACTCATTGTTTAGCATTAATTAAAAAGTTAAACTTTATCTGTTACTAAATTTAGATATAATATATGCAAAATAGGAAATATGTGAAATAAAGTTATGTGTAATCTGCACTTTTATTTTAGCTTAGAAAAGGGTGGGGGGTATCTTAAAAAAATTTGGCACAATTGTACAAAAATGAATGAAAAATTATTTAAGCATCTATATATAAATGCTTGATGATTTAAGAGATAATATTAAACATATTTAAAACATTCAACTACAACACCATATTTCTAATTTTCTTAAATGTTTTAATAATTCCAATCTATTAAGCATATCTACTTACATTCAAATTCAACAATTACAAAACAATCTTTGGTCTCTTACCAATATTTTTTTATATTCTAACTCAATTATTAATGGTTCCAACTGCTTAACTACAAACTTTAAAATTATATAGCTTATTAAACATATTTGCTAGATATTATTAACCTATTCAACTTATAATATTTCTTATATCTTAAATAATAGAACCATTTTCTTTGAATCTCTTTTTTCTTTTTACTCTAAATACTTTGTCTTTAAAAAACAACTTAGATATTACATACTTCTTTTTCTTAACCAACTTAATATATATGATAATTTATACTTATTATACTAGTAACACATTTCTTTTAGACTAAACAAACTTTCTAAAGATAAAGATAAGGGTGTGCGACCTAGTGAAGTGGTCAGGTTGTCAACCCTCCAAGTGGTAGGTTGGGTGTTCAAATCCCATCGATGGCAAAAAATTTGGATAATCACCTATGTAATATTCGTATTACGGCAACTGTTACTAACGATTGGGTTAGGATACCTGTAATG